CGATGCCACGACAAGACGTTGCTCGCCTCTTAGGATGTATGCCCAGAACAGTTTCTCTTGTTATGGCAAAAATGAATGCGTCTGGAAATGTGCACAGATGTAGGAGAAAGGGACGGCCGAGGATTACAATAAAGAATGAAGACGGATTCTTTACGGGAGCTTTCAAAAAGGATCCGAATTTGACGTTGAACAATGGAGTCATTCTTTTCAAACAAACTTCAAACAAGAATATTTCCCGCTGGACCTTGCATCGACGCTTGCTTCAAGCAGCATTGTATACTAGAAGGCCTGCTTTCAAGCCTATGATGACAGCCAAACACAGGAGGCAGCGCCTTCAATTTGCTCCAACCTATTCAAATTGGACAATCGATGATTGGGCCCGGGTGATTTTTGTTGATGAAACAAAAGTCGACATTTTTCCTTCAAATCGAAATCATCTGATCCGACGTCTAATTGGAAAGCGATATCAACTCAAGTACTTGGTGAAAACAGGCGGAGGATCAAGTATGTGTTTCGGTAAGGATAATTTTCTTTTTATGCAGCTCAACATGATTTCTTTAGGTGTGATGTGTAAAAGTTGAACGGGTCCACTTTCCTCGTAAAGTCAACAATGGATTCTCGCCAATATATTGAGATATTGAACAGATGTCTACTTTCATTTGCGACTGCTTCGATGAATCCTGGATGGTTTCTTTATCAAGATAATTTGCCAAAAGTAAACTTTTGATGGACCGCGTTGTGACTCTCTCGAATGGAGGAAAAGCGCATTTACCGGGATGGTTTGGGATCAATCACGTGTCTTTGATCGGAGCTCCACCATTCTCACCAGATTTAAATGTTATCGAGAATTTATGGGCCTATTTGAAATCGAAATTGCGAGGAAAACGATTCAATTCTAAAGTCGAGCTATGGTTTTACATCAGAAAAATTTGGAGGACGATTGGACCTGGCATTCTTGATGAATTAATCGATGTTTAATACGAGTAGGCATCGATGCCTACTCGTATTAAAGAAGTACTTTTGGCAAAAGGAGGAGCGACTAAATATTCATTGAAGCTTAATTTCGTTTTGTGTGAAAAGACTTTTGCACCACGATTTTCAGGGGTTTTTTGACAATTATATTTTTTCTCGATGAATAAGTGTTGTATAGCGATAAAGTTTGTGTAAATAAATTGTACATATATTTATGTAACTAAAACTATTAATAGCTTAAAGATAGCCATGAACTTCATGAAAGAAAATTGAATGTGAAAAGACTTTTGCACATGACTGTATCTTTCTTTGCTTGCAATTTTTCTCACGAGAATAGAAAAGTTCTCTTTTTGGTGCCCTTTTCCTGTAAAATGTGTCTCAAAATCAAATTCGAAAAGCTTATTCGAAACACGTTATTCGAAAAGCTAATTATAGACTAAAAGGTTTTATCACTTTTTCGAATATATCATCACAATTAGTTCCATTTTTGGAAATGACTCCAAAAAGTCGTTAATTGGTTGTCTCATTTTAACATATTTTTGCATTTTTCAACTCTCTTTGATAGAAGAGAATAGAATTTGATAGAAAACTTGCTTTGAGAATGAGAATGAGAATAGAATTTTGATAAAACTTTGATAGAAAACTTGCTTTTCCTGTTTCAATGAAATTACCATTTGTTAAATTGAAAAGCGAATTACGAATGGCCTAAAAAAGTTGTAACCGGGTAACGCGTTCAAGAAAATTTGATTGAATTGAATAGATTTGCAGAGTTTGAACGAGGAATGAACGGTAAACTTGGATTTTGAATTTGGAACTGGGGTTTTTCTTTGCAAAATTGGTTATTCACTTTGCCAGCTTTTAAAAGATTCTAGAAACTTTAAAAAAATCATCCTTTCAATTATCTTATGCTTATTACCTTTATTACTAACTTCCAAAAACTAAAAAGTTCCAAAAAGTCTTAAAAAGTTCTTGTCTTAACAGTCTTAAAGAGTTTATGTGTGCTTGGATCAAGACTTTCAGCCTTTTGCAAGATCGTACAAAATTCGGTTAACCAACCACAATTTATTCCATTATTTGTAGTTTTAATTTAATCCAACGGGTTACTTGCATGGATTAATTAAAGGGCTAAAATGCGAAAGGATTCGAGCAATTGTCCAATGAACAATGGATCAGATTTGTCCAGATTTGTCGAAACATAATAAAAGTAATAATTTCACTGATTTAACTTCGATTGAACACTGAATTAGGTGCGGCAAAAGTTTGGAGCCGCTCCTTAAGATAGTTAAAGGTTTAAAAACTAGCTTTAAAAAGTTAAAAATTAATAACAAACTCTTGATTCGAATCATAACAACAAATAACTTATAACAAATGCTCGAAATTTCCACCATCCGCTTCGATACGCCTATTTAAACGCTTTGGGAAGTTCCTCACGATGGTGGCGCACGCTTTAACAGTTATTTCATCCCAGACTCGTTTCAGAGCAGATTTAAAAGCATCCACTGTTTTCAATTATGTCGCTAAAGAATCTTAGTTTCCCTTTAACAATCCTTCCAACGCTTCGAAGACTAATTTTCAGCTGTTTGCCCAGCTTTCGCATCGACCGCAGCTTGTTTTGGCGAATCCGAAAGCGAATTTCGTTGATGTTCGTAGGTGTTACGGCAGTTGGTGGTCGACCACTTCGAGGGTGATCCTTGTTGTTCTTTATCTCCTTGTAGCGTTTAATTGCTTTGTTAACGGTGCTTTTTGGATATTTCGTGATTTTTACAATCTCCGGGCTATTTTTTCCGCCTTGGTATAATCCAAGAATCACATCGCGTCGTTTTTTGGCGTTCATTCTTACGAATTTTCTCCTAAAAAGAAAATTTTTGTAACAAATCACCTTAATTATACTCGAAAAAAGGGAAAAAAGTATACGAGACACAAAAAAAGCGTGAGCTAAATTTTCTGCAATGTTTTCATAGCGGCTCCGAACTTTTGCCGCACCCTGTAACAGTGAGGAAATGAACAAATTTAAACAATATATAACAAGAAAAAGATATTCAGGCGAGACAATAATTCAACGGAATTAGCACTTTTCCCATAGCCGTTTCACGTTTTCTTACTTTTAAACTACTTTTGGATGTAAATCGCAGTGGTGGTGTTGAAATATTTAGCACACTAACAATTGCTAATACCAGATCAATGGTAATTGATTTTATGTGTGCTGACAGGCTATTTATGACATTCACCACTTTATTAATCGACACTTTCCTGATAGCAGAATATTTTGCATCTTTCGTTCTGGTACAACTTGTTTTTTGTGTCTTATCTACAGAGTGCCCCAAAAGTTCAGGCACAACTTTTTCAAAGCAGCTAGCAAACGTGTAACTTATTGCAAAAATGGTAAGTGTTATATAGGGATTTGAAGCCCAGAATCTTGGCTACATTTACATAACAAATGCTTTCGAATTGGAGTCACATAACTCATGTGACAAGTTTTTGAATGAGCATTACTCGGTCTCTTTCCAGGACGATGCCATTCTTGACGATTTTCTTTATAAAAATTTTTTAAAAGAGCTCTTTTGTTATTTATTTTCTTAAAATGTAACATATATTACTATTTAATAGCAATAAAAATAATATCTAACTATTTTGTCAAACTTTCTTAACCAAAGTTCAATTTGATTTTGTTCATTTTGAAGCCCAAGGAAAAAAGCGAAGATTGAGCGTTTTTTGATGTTCAATTTGCATCCAGCTTTTGATATATATATGCTAGTCTAGCTCTATAAATTCATTGAACTTAATTTTTTCAACAAGAAGACTACAAAATTGTTTTGGGGAAGCCTTTTTAAACGAAAATCGTCAAAAATGGCAGCGTGCTGGAAAGAGATTGAGTAAAGTTTGACAAAACAGTTAGATATTATTCTTATCATTATTAAATGATAATAAATGTTACATTTTAATAAAATAAATAACAAAAAGGTCTTTTAAAAGATTTTTATAAAGAAAATCGTAGAAATGGCAGCGAAAATCGTAAAAATGGCCGCGAAAATCGTAAAAATGCCGAAAAGAGACCGAGTATTGCTCATTCAAAAACTTGTCACATAATCTGTGTGACTCCTTCCCGACAAGTTGCGTTTGATCTCCACCGTGTCTGATTTTAAAAGGGCTATTTCGTTGCATTTTAAGTGACTTTGTGATCTTTTATCTAGTACATTTTTCATGTCGTTTTCGCACTTTATTTCTTTCTGAATAAAGTATTTATATAAAAGCTTTTGTTATGTAAATGTAGCCAAGATTCGGGGCTTCAAATCTCTATATAACACTTACCATTTTTGCAATAAGTTACACATTTGCTAGCTGCTTTGCTAACAAATGTGCTAGCATTCAATAACGATAAAAATAAAATCTAACTATTTTGTCAAACTTTACTCAATCTCTTTCCAGCACGGGGCCATTTTTGACGATTTTCGTTCAAAAAGGCTTCCCCAAAACAATTTTGTATTCTTCTTGTTGAAAAAATTAAGTTCAATGAATTTATAGAGCTAGAGTAGCATAAATATCAAAATCTGGATGCAAATTGAACATCAAAAAACGCTCAATCTTCCCTTTTTTCCTTGAGCTTCAAAATGAACAAAATCAAATTGAATTTTGGTTAAGAAAGTTTGACAAAATAGTTAGATATTATTTTTATTGCTATTAAATAATAATATATGTTACATTTTAATAAAATAAATAACAAAAGAGCTCCTTTAAAAAATTTTTATAAAGAAAATCCTCAAGAATGGCATCCGCCTGGAAAGAGACCGAGTAATGCTCATTCAAAAACTTGTCACATGAGTTATGTGACTCCAATTCGAAAGCTTTTGTTATGTAAATGTAGCCAAGATTCTGGGCTTCAAATCCCTATATAACACTTACCATTTTTGCAATAAGTTAGATATTTGCTAGCTGCTTTGAAAAAGTTGTGCCTGAACTTTTGGGGATACCCTGCATTTGCTTTAATTTCATTTTTATCCCTACAATCGCCATCTTTAGATCACAATTCGATGTTTAACTCAACAAATGAAGAGCTTCTTCCTGAGTATCTAAAATATTCAAATGAAAGTACAGATTCTTTCAATGCGCAAATGGTGAGTTGAAAAGTGATAACTAAAATTTAAAATTTACATGTTTCAGGCACGTCCAAATTGGGTGAATATCTCAAGTTTAGTGCCATTAGTAAGTCTTTTTTGAAAAGTCTTTGATAGAGTGAAATTTTGTTAAATTGATTGAACGTTCAGGATTGGGCGATTCCCTTGTATGGTTACATGATGCCATTTCTCGTCATCATCACAACAATCACCAATTGTTTCATCGTGATCGTGCTTTCACAGAAACACCTCCGAACGCCCACAAATGGAGTGTTGTTAGCGATGGCGATTACTGATTTGATGACAGGTCAAATTTCACTCTAACATTGAGCGGAATACAGCGAAATTTTGCCAAAATAAAGATTCCAGGTTTAACCTCAATCCCTTGGTTTATCTACTATTACACATTGAAAGGGTACGCTATCGACCAGGGTGAGTTGAATTCGAATCGTCTAAGTTTCACAACTTTCAGTATACGGAATGGATAGATTTTCTTGTTTTGCTTTTCGATATCTCTTCGATTCGATTCCATCAGGTTTGGGGTTTCAGTAGCTAAGAAAATTAGGAATGGGATAGATTGCCGGCCCTTTACAATTTTGAAACATTCTATTAAATCCCTGACCAAGCGTCAGTGTCTAAGAGGTTTAAGATCAAAAATTTTGAGTCTATCTGTGCGAATAAAGTTTGCAAATTTGGAAAAATCTATGAAAAGACTTTCTGGACAGCCTAATAGTTCCAATTTTGGGAACTATTAGGCTGTCCTATTGAAAATTCGGCTTGAGCGAATATCTTTGAAAATTTGGTTATATATCTAACTTTTTGCGCTTGATCTTTTATCTATTTAAATCAATCAATTGGTGTTTCTAATCTTTCTTGATTTGAAAAATTGAATAACCCGCGATAATTAAATGAAAAGAATCCAATTCGCTGACTATTTAGCTTGATTTAAGTGTTTTCGATTAAATCGTGACAAGATTGATTGTTTAAAAGTTTTAAGTATTTGAATTTCTTAAAGATCTACTAGTTTAATCCAATCTTTTCAGTTCTGCACACCACTGCAACCTGGCTTACCGTCTTTTTGGCTGTTCAACGATATGTTTACGTCTGTGTGCCGGATTCAGTTCATTTCTATTGCACTCCACGGACAACGAGATGCGCCATAATCATGATTTTCTTTGTAAACTTGAATTTTAAATCAATCAAATCTCGTTTTAGCTTTCATTTATCACTGTTTTGCCGGATCTATTGTCAAAAGAGTTCTCATTTTTACGGCCAAATCAAGCACCGAATCCTTTCCAAAAGCGGATGTGCAGTTATCAATATTACAAGTAAGTTGAAGAGAAAATGAGGGGTTTTAGGGGAATTTTGTTTGTGGTAACACACAGTAAGGCTTAACACGTTAACGACGATACGGCCGTACTATGACGTACTAATGACGATTTTTTTGGTGTTGCCTCAAGCTTTTAAGAACTTTTGTTATTTATTTCGCAGAAAGTTCTCAGTATCTTTATACTAGTTTTCAAGAGGAGATTCAGGGCTATCGAATGACTATAATAGTTTAGTTTATTTTTGAATTTCCCCAAAATTATCAGTAAAACAGTTATCGACTACGCGACTGTACGCTTAAAATCGTCGTCGCGAATGTGTTAAGGCCCTACTCTGGTGGCAATGGGTACGTGCCAGTGTAGCTCATTGATAAAGCGTTCGCCCGGTAAGCAAGAGGTCGCGGGTTCGAATACCCGTGCGCCGCGCCAACCCAGAAGAGGACCAGCTTGTCCAACTCCACCATTTCTGGCGCACTTTCCCGCCCGGTAAGCGAGAGGTCGCGGGTTCGGATCCCGGCGCCGCGCCAACCCAGAAGAGGACCAGCTTGTCCAACTCCACCATTTCTGGCGCACTTTCCCGCCCGGTAAGCGAGAGGTCGCGGGTTCGGATCCCGGCGCCGCACCAACCCATAAAAGGACCAGCTTGTCCAACTCCACTCTTTCTGGCGCACTTTCCCGTTCGTAGACTATCTAAGTCCGTCCGATTCTGTGCTTTGAACAGTACATAAAACATTCAAGTCCAAATCCAATCAATTTCAGATGGGTGCAAGTGATCGGGATACCCGTTTACCATTCGGTTTATCGATGGGTTCGAGCGGTGATGCATTTCATCCCATGCACTCTACTATTGGTAAAAAAACTTGCAAAAGCAATAAAGATTCTTTAGATTATTAGTATTATCTATTAAAGAATCACTAAACCTAAAGCTGAAGCCAAAGTTTGAAGCGAAAGTTTTCGTATTCCATCTGTGAACTTATTTCAGAGTTTCATTCTGCTCAAAGCCTAATTTGAAGTCAACGGCCATAAGAAAAGCTACAAAATGTGCCAAAATTCTGCCAAATTTTTATCAACTTTTAGGTGTTCACCTATAAATTGGGCAAAACAATCAAAAAGGCCGAAATTCGAAAGAAGAGTTTTGTCGTGTGTCAAGACGGGAATGATCGAAAAGTGTCGACCGTTTCGAACAAGTGAGTTCTTTGAAAAGTTATTCAATTGCTCTGACTATATACTATATTTATTCTAATAGAAGCGGATGGGCTTTTATTTTTCAAACATTCCACAAAATTGCTTCTATTAGAGGCTGCGCTCCTCTTTCTCAATGACTTTAAAAAATTGAAGTAGTTCCTAGAAAGGAAACCTTTAGAAAATCACTTAAAAACCAATTCAAAACAAATCAATCTTCAAAAAAGCATGATTCTCGTTTTCATTAAAGTCGCTGACTTCAAACGAGATGTCACTATTGTAGTCCAAGAAAATGCAAGAAAAGCTACTGATTAAGCAATAGTGAACTTTAGCAATGATTTAAGCAGTTCATGCAAGAATCTAAGAAAGAACTAAGCAAGAAAGATCCTTTGCTAAAGAATTGGATATTAAAATATTAAACATTAAAATGCTTAAAGTAGAGAATTTTATGGCATAAATTATCTTAAGCTCAATCTAGTTGAGCTTTGTTGAGCTAGAGCTAGATTTGAGATTGAGCTAGAGATTGAGCTCAACTAGATTGAGCTCAATCTCAATCTCAATCTTAAATCTAGCTCAATCTCAATCTCAATCTAGGTTACAAATTCAATTCAAATCAGCTTTCAAGAAAAACTTCTCAAAATTTCCACTGCTTATGCAAAATAAATGATAGAGGATGCAATTTTTCTCAAGGAAATCCGTATATAGCTTTATATATCCTTAAAGGGGATGAAAGTCGAGGCCATTGGGGCCTCAATTGTATTTAAAAAAACGTCATCCCCAAGGAGGATGAAAATCGAGGCCGATTCCAAGTGAAAAATAAAAAGAAATCTTTTTCGTCGATAACTATCATTTGTTTTATTCTTTGTATCTCAAAAAATAGCAGAAACAAATCAGCTGATCGATTTCCTGCCATATTCGCTGATTTCCACACATGTTCGATCCGTAATCTTGCCGCAGATTTGCAGGAGTGAAGTCGAGTCGCTAAAATCAAATTAGATAAAACAATTTTGAAATAAACATAGTTACGGCTGTGAGGCAAGTTCAATTTCTTGCCCAATTCATTGTTCTCGACTTTCCTTTACTTCGGCCTCCTGGAATTCTCCCACAAATATGGGATTGCCAGTCATTTCACCTAGAATGTGTTTTCTAAAATGCGCGCTTCGGTTTTTGCTAAAGTTGGGAATCATTTTGCCGCGTAAATTACAACGTAGTTTGAGTTTTTGTCAACTAATACTGTCAACGAATACTGTCAACGAATACCGTCAACGAATACTGTCAACTAATACCGTCAACTAATACTGTCAACTAATACTGTCAACTAATACTGTCATACTACTGTCAACTAATACTGCCAACGAATACTGTCAACGAATACCGTCAACTACTACTGTCAACTAATACTGTCAACGAATACTGTCAACTAATACCGTCAACTAATACTGTCAACGAATACTGTCAACTACTACTGTCAACGAATACCGTCAACGAATACTGTCAACTAATACTGTCAACTAATACTGGCAACTACTACTGTCAACTAATACTGCCAACGAATACCGTCAACTAATACTGTCAACTAATACACAATTATGCCTCTATGCCTCTATAAGCTATTTTACTACTTTTTCAAGTTAGTTACGTTAAATAAGGTCGAACGATATAACGTAATCAGGTCCTTGAAGAGACATCTTAGGTGGAATGACTTTCATACAATTCATTCATACAATTCATTCATACAATAGTAATTTTCTATATTATTTCGTTACTCTTTCTTAAAATTTTACAAATTTTAATTGTTCTAGTACAGGGTTTATCTAATGGCTGAATTCGAAACGGGTATGTTTCTGGGGACTTACTGAAAGTGAGTGAGTTAGGACGATGTAACGTAATCGTACTTGAAGAAAGACTTTCGGTGAAATAAATTTAGGTGTAAAAAATTTTAGATGAAATGACTTTCGGTTAAATGAAGGTTTCCTCAAATTTGGCAGTGTTGCCGGAAAATTTCCAATTGTGATATTCCAATCAACAGTGACGTACGTCGATTTATCATCTTCAACAACTTCATCTTCGCTTGAACTCATCTTGATTGATAGTTCAAAAAAAATTCAATTTTCTGATTCAATGATTTCCAATGATTCAATGATTCAATCCAATGATTCAATGAAAAAATGATTCAATTTTTGGCTTGCCTGCAAGGGGAGTGGCTTGCCAGTTGATACGTTCAAACCTATTTGCCGCGACAGGAGATGTTTATCAATGAAAGTTCGCTGAATATGGCAGGAAGTCAATCAGCCGATTTATTTCGGCTATTTTTTGTATACAAATCAAATCAAAACAAAATGATGTTATTGGCGAAAACAAAATTTTCACTTGGAATCAACCTCGATTCTCATCTACTTTAAGGCTCAAAACTCAGGGTATTCGATCTACTAAGTTACTAGATCTACTAAGTTACTAGATCTACTAGATCTGCTAATATTCACTGTTATTGCTTCTATTGAAGCCTGCGCTTGATTAGAATAAATAAAGTATATACAAAGGCTTCTGCTAGTGCATGCCTTTTTTTTGATTAGTTTTTCTTTTTTTTGAAGTGTCGTGATCAGTTGCAGTGGAAGAAGTCTTTATGCGACGAATCGAATGCTCTCCGTCATCTGCTCTGTGTTTCTGATTTTGGAGGTGAGTTTTTTTGAAATCTAAATCTTATAGAAGCTTATAATACTTAACTTTCTATACTCATTCTATTCAAGAATTTATAGGCTTACGAGGCTTACTATTTTATCAGTAGCCAGCCTTATACTTATAGTTTATAAGTACAAGATCTTTTTATAAAAATATTCACCTAGCTAGTTGCTCACCTAGCTAGTTGCTCACCTAGCTAGTTGCTCACCTAGCTAGTTGCTCACCTAGCTAGTTGCTCACCTAGCTAGTTGCTCACCTAGCTAGTTGCTCACCTAGCTAGTTGCTCACCTAGCTAGTTGCTCACCTAGCTAGTTGCTCACCTAGCTAGTTGCTCAGCTATTTGTATTAGGTTGGCCGGAAAGTTCTTTCCGTTTTTTGACGCTAGATCTAACTTTTTACTTTACGCATCAAAAACGCCAAATAAAAACAAATAAAACAGAATTTATCTACTCGAAATATTCACCGTCAACATCAATAACATCCTGCCACTTATCCGGCAACAAATAGATTCCGTGGCCGTAAAACTCACGTGGCTTCGAATCGAAAAACTGAGTGAGTGACAAGCGCATTTCCTCGACGTTTTGAAAGATCTTTCCACGCAAATGATGCTCCAGAGACCTGAAAAAATGATAATTGGAGCTTCAAAATCAAAACTTACCGACCTCACGCAGAATTTCCTCAATTGTTGTCTTGCCACACTCAAAATCCTCAGCCAACATCCGCGTCGTCAATGTCAATGACATCAATGTCAATGACATCAATGTCAATGACATCAATGTCAATGACGGTCTTCAATTGTTTCCAAAACTGCGTGACGATCAACTTCTAGTGGGCGTCCTGACCTCAGAACATCGGCCAAACTTTCCTCTCTTTCACGAAACTTTGCGAACCAATTTCGGGCTGTACGATCCGTAACAATGCCTTCGCCAAACGCCTCACAAACTTTTCGTGCAGCCTCCGAAGCATTCAAATTCAATTTCCATTGAAACAAGAGCAGCAGACGACGAATTTCCTCCTTGGAGAGACTCATTGCCTGAAACAAGTATAGGGAAGTTATATACCAAAATGACCGCACGGAAACACGCTTTCTAACGACATAAAAATCTTCCAGAAAAACAATAACGCTGAAATGCTACGGCTACATCCGAAAGAACTTTCTGGCCAACCTAATATTTGTGATGAGATACTGGCTGAAATCTAAGATGAAGAAATAGGATTCAAACAGCTAGCAGCTAAACAGCTAAACTCTGATAGGGTAAACCTAGTTGAACTTTGCCTATTTTAAGGTAAAAAAATCTAGTACCCTTGTAATCTGATAGCAAGGGATACAACAAATCGGTTCTAAGAATAGAAGCTAAGCTAAAATACTAGCTAACAACCAGAACAAAAGCTAAAAAGCAAAACAAAAGGCATATCTGTAAAGTTGCTGAGTGTTCTGGAGAAATTCAAGAAGAAATCAATATCTTTTGATTAAATTTCAGAAGTTAGAAGTGTTTAAAATCGGTTTTATATCAATGAGTTGGCTTAATTCATTGAATTTGAACCTTTTAACCTTTTAAAACCTTCAACCTTTTAAAGCAACCCATAAATTACTATATTCTTATCAATACTTATCAAGAAATTTAGCTTATAAATTGATTTTTCTCTTTGAAAACTTCACAAATACTCATCTAACACAAAAAAAGATAAAAAACGGTTTTTGAACACCTCTGCTAACTAATAATAAGTCAACTATTTACCGAAAACGTCTGGAATCAAAAAGTTTGCAGCCTAGTCTTGAAAAATAGACAAAAAACTGTTCTAGACACACTTTGCTGCAAGTTTAGTTTCAAAAGTCAATGCATTTTTCAGATTCCCGCCTCAGTGAGCTTCGTGATTCATTTTTTGGTCGGCTCAAGTTTCGCCTTAGCCGATCAAAAGATTTTCGTCAGTGACATCCTCAACAGAATCACAATCATTCGGTAAATTCACTTAATATCTTTCTAATCTCAAAAATTCAGCAATTTATTGATTGTCTTAACTTCTCCTATTCAATTCACGATCTATTGCTCAATGTCCGAGCAATTTCGGCTCACTGTTCGTCAACTTTTCACCTCAAAGCTCCTCTTTGTAGCACAAGTAGGTTTTATTTGCTTAACCTTGGTTCTCAAAAATGTTTTTAAAAACTATTGATAGGCCCAGGCCACATTTCATGGAGGGAAAAGATATTCACTCATTCTTGTCGATGTCGAAACGATTGAGGCAAAGAAGAATGGAGGAAACAAGAAGAATTCGCGAGCTGTTGTCAGTGTGTGAGTTTTTGTTTTGGATTGTCTAGGTTCAAAAATCGAGCTTATGTTTCGATATTTTTAGAAAAGAGCTCATAAATTCTTTTTCTTAACTTTGAAACTTTAAATCTTGAACTGCCTTTCAAGAATATTAGATTGAGGAATACTGTAATTTTGCAGTATCTATAACCATTTCCTAAACCTGTAGAGAAAAGGAACCAAATCTTTGGAGAAAAGGAACCAAATCTGTAGAGAAAAGAAACCAAATCTGTAGAGAAAAGGAAAATCTGTAGAGAAAAGGAACTAATCTCTAGAGAAAAGGAACCAAATCTTTGGAGAAAAGCAACCAAATCGTTGAAGAAAAGGAACCAAATCTTTGGAGAAAAGGAACCAAATCTGTAGAGAAAAGGAACCAAATCTGTAGAGTAAAGGAACGAAATCTTTGGAGAAAAGGAACCAAATCATTGGAGAAAATGAACCAAATCTGTAGAGAAAAGAAACCAAATCTGTAGAGAAAAGGAACTAATCTCTAGAGAAAAGGAACCAAATCTTTGGAAAAAAGGAACCAAATCTCTAGAGAAAAGGAACCAAATCGTTGAAGAAAAGGAACCAAATCTGTAGAGAAAAGGAACCAAATCTTTGGAGAAAACAATTCTACTTTTTAGTGAACACCGCGACCCATCAAAAAAATCTGAATACCCGGAAACACTTGCAGAAGAGAAACGAAAAGGTGGCCGAGTCGGTCGCCAAGTTTCGTTCAAAGACCGACCATTTGTCAAGCATCGAGAATATAAAGATAAAACAATTGTACTAAATGGGAATTCTGGTGAGACTCATCATAGTTTTTTTCCAAAAGAAAATTTAGATAAAAATTCGCTAAAGAAAGAGTCACCACTAGTTTATCGACGACTTTCCACAGTGATCCAAGAGCCGCCTGAGAGCCCAGATACAAAAACTACGGTAAGATAAAACGCTATTCTTTAGCTTGTAACTATTCTTAGGACGATGATTAACTTAAAGGTGCTATGAAGCTGTACCAAACTGTCTTAAACGACTTGTTTCAGTGTGTGTTGTCCGATCGAGCATCTCTACTGAGCGAACCGACGTTGAGTAGTAATTTGTCGTCGGAGAGAACAAATGGAGAGCCAGTTGAAATGAAATCTGTGAGTAAGCTTGCTAATAGTAAATCTATACTTGACTTGAGTCTAAACTGCTTTTGTCTGAACTGTTTCAGCCAGGCAAAGTCGTGAGCAGGGCTGCATGGGTAATTGAATTCCGGATAATCTGGAAACCGGATAATCTGGAGATCGGATAATCTGGAGATCGGGTCAGCTGGAGATCGGATAATCTGGAGACCAGATAATCTGGAGATCGGGTCAGCTGGAGATCGGATAATCTGGAGACCAGATAATCTGGAGATCGGATAATCCGGATTTTTAAAATGCTGGATAAAATCCGGATACGGATCATTATCCGTATTATCCGGAAAATCCGCATAATTTTTAAAATTGAATATTCAATGACAAAAACTTGGTTTAACTACTAGTTTGTCTTTGAAAATATAGTAAAATACATTCATATCTTTTGGTAATTGAGATTTTGCAAAGATTTAAGTCGAAGTCAAGTCAAGGTTCAAGGGCAAAACTTCAAAACTCGACAATTTTTTGAGAAACTTCAAGTGACTTTTCCTTCCCATGAAGCTAAACTTGACAAGTTTAATTGAAAAAGAAATAAAATTACACCAAACCCAAAATCTTCCATAAAGTCAACAGCTTTTTGATAAATTGGCGAATAGCTGAACTTGTTTTAAGGAAATTGACAATTGAAATTGACACTTTCATTCATTAGAAGTCGTTTTCAAGTAGTCTGGATAATCAGGCGCGGAAAATCAAAATTCAACGGACATTCCGGATATCCGGATCCGGAGATATGAGCTAGATTATCGGGAATACTCCGGAAAATTCCAGATAATCCGGTTACCTATGCAAGTCATGATTAAATCATTCTTTGCTTTTAACTCAAGCAAGCTAGGCAAAAGCACATGAAGCTCAAGAAGACAAAACAAAGCTAGCTTTGCCTAGCTTTGCCTAGCTTTGCCTAGCTTTGCCTAGCTTTGCCTAGCTTTGCCTAGCTTTGCCTAGCTTTGCCTAGCTTTGCCTAGCTTTGCCTAGCTTTGCCTATGTGTACACTAAATATGACATCAATAATTTAATAATTCTGCCTCTGAACCAGCCATGTTAACTCTGCCCCTTTTACGGTCCATTTGCCGTTGGCAAACTACGAATTTGCTTTTACCTTGACCGGTTTTATTTGTAAAACGTTGAATTTGCTTTCATTTGATAGAAAATTTGTTTTCGAGTCGAATGAAAGGAAATTCAACGTTTTCTCAAACAAACCCAACTAAGATACAAGCAAAATAGATTGCCAACGGCAAACGAACGGAAAAAGGGTTGGAGTTAACAGGCCTACTCATAAGTACAATACAAGATGACGTCAATCACCATTTCAGATTCAAGTTGGGCTCAAAGATTGCATAAAAAACGATGATGGCAGTGAGCAAATCGATATTTAACTTTGTTTTGTACAATGATTTAATGTTAGGAAGATTTGTCAATAATTTTCTCTGCGCAACGGGTTTTTGAGATTCTTTTTGTTTGATTGGTTTTTATTTGAAGAGTAATAAAGATTCAAATAATCACAACACTAACATTTATTCAGAAGTTGACATTGGTGACATTGGTTACCGTAATACTCTTTTGATTCGATGAGCTTATTTTAATCGACGAGGGGCTGGGGAAGATCCATTCAAAGAATGCTCGTCTCAATTTTGCATTCACAATCAATCCAATATAAGCTTCGCTCAGCGTTGAGCAGTCAGAGGCGAGATTTAGCTGAATTAGCATTCTTTTAGCTGACAATTTTAAGAAGGCCAGATCTACTATATAAAACTCTGTCTGTCTGTCCGTCCGTCTGACTGTCTTTCTGTCCGTCTGTCTGTCTATCTGTCTGTCCGTCTGTTTGTCTGTCTGTATGTCTGTCCATCTGTCTGTCTGTCTATCTATCTATCTGCCTATCTGTCTATCTGTTTATCTGTCTGTCTGTTTGCCTGTCTGTCTGTTTGTCTGTCTGTCTGTCTATCTATCTGTCTGTCTATCCGTCTATCTGTCTGTCTGTCCGTCTGTCTGTCCGTCTGTATGTATGTCTGTCTGTCTGTATGTTTGTCTGTCTGTCTATCTATCTGTCTGTCTGTCCGTCCGTCTATCTGTCTGCCTGTGCGTCTATCCGTCTATCCGTCTATCTGTCTGTCCGTCTGTTTGTCTGTCTATCTGTCTATCTGTCTGTCTGTTTGTCTGTTTGTCTGTTTGTCTGTCTGTCTATCTATCTGTCTGTCTGTCTTTCTTTTCATTGTAGCCTTATTTACCTTGCTTCCGATTCAATTACGATTCATTTCCAAAAACCCAATAAGAAAAACAAACCGCAAGCAGCTGTGCCGTTGAATCGAATAGAACAGTTCCCCAATCCTATAAAATTTGCCCAATATTTGCCCAATATTCAGAAAACTCACAATCCAGAACATCAGCGCAAGTTGAACAAAGAGATTCGCCAAACCGATGAACAGCAGATTGAACTCGAACGATTGCTTTGCGAATCTGAAATCAAAGTATCAATTAAAGTGAAAAAGTAATCGACTAAAGCAACCTTTTCCCATAGCATCGTAAATAAAAAACTTTTCCCATAATAGCAATATTGATAGCCAGTGAAAATAATGGATAGACATGGCTGAGGCTCTTCTCGGCCCATAGAGAAATTGGTGCTTGCTAGGAAAGGATGAAGAATGGTCTCGTATTTGGTGATCTCATTACAGTACACCATGTCCATTTAAGTTTTACAGGAAAACAATCAATCAACCCGGCATTTAGAGTAATTTAAGGGACTTTTAAGATTTAGGAAAACCCCCGAGTAGAAATTTATAGCTAAATCTCTTCTTTTTGTACCATTTACAAAGCAGAAGAAAGATCTCAATGAAGACTTTTAATCAATAATTTCATTTTAAAAAGTCACGAACGTTGACTCGATCAGTTGCCAAGTATCCATTACCAGAAGGAATATAATAACCATTTAAAAAGATAATTTGATAGTTGACGCCAAATGAGAACAGAAATACTGCGATGATTGCGAGCGAAAGGTAGAACGAGCGCCAGATCTTGAACATTTTTGTGCTTTGCTCAAATTCTGACAAACTTTTAAGTGAAGTAGCGGCATCCAAATCGAAGTGAATCGATTCAAATGCATCAAGATCAACGATAACTGTTCGACGTGGAAAGCTGAGCATTGGACCATATAGAAAAAACGGTATGGTAGGATATTTGTTGAAATATTTGTGTAGAAAACGGATGTCACCGGGAGTTCCTTGGGTTTTAGTGTTATCAAAGTGTTCACATAGGTGCCGAGGTACTAAAGAGGTTCGATTTTATAGGCTTGGTTGTTAAGTCTGCGTTCCGGCCTTGCCTAGTCAGACTTTACTACAAGTTTAGTCTACTAAAAGCCTCTTGGCTCACAAGAAGTCGGTTATCGGACATTTGATAAGCCCCACTCCTTTTCCCATTGACAATCCAACTTTGAGCTCAAATATCTTGGTGTTGGGTTGTCCGATTTAAATATTCTTGGTATCATTAGATACGCCAAGTCTTTCTCTCTCGATTGGCACAAAAACTATTTAAATTGTACAACCCAACACCAAGATATTTGAGCTCAAAGTTAGATTGACAATGGTAAAGGGACGGGGCGCGTATAAAAGGTCGTCACAATCTAAGAAATCATACTGGGTTCTGGCCGGGCTACGGACTTGCCATTGGCACTCCAACTTTGAACTCAAATATCTTGGTGCTGGGCCGTCCAATTTCAATAGTAATTGACCAAGAGAGAAAGGCGGCGCATCAAAGAAAAAAAATTAAATGGCGCAAAAAAAAAGAGGCGAGGGGGAAAGGTCACAAACAAAATAGTTGGCTTTTTGTTTTTTGATTTGTCTTCTTTAAGCTAAACGGGTTATTAATTGTTATGATTATATGCTCATCTACTATATGTAAAAGAGCTGTGCCTGCCTGTCTGTGCGCACTACTCCCCCGAACCCAGCGGGCCATTTTAAATGCCTTATGGTTAATTTGCCTTAGAATTTTATGTAGTTGTGCAACATGCTTTTAAATTTTTAAAAAACCAAAAATGCCAATGCGGGCAGGAGTCGAACCCGGGCCGTGTGGGCTAGAGACAAGTGCGGTCGCACTTGTCATCTTCTAGAGCATAGCCGAGTGGTTAACGCGCGCGTCTCTCAAACAAACGGAAGTAGAGGTCGCGGATTCGACTCCTCTCGACTCCAATTCTTTTGCTTTTTGCTCCAAAAACTTTTTGTGCTGCTTTGGTGCTGGGTTGTCGAACTTTAACCCATTCGAAACCGCAGCGTTTTTTCTTTTTTTTCGTCTACGGACCAAGCCCTTTTTTGACATTTTTGACTCCGAAGCAGTTTATTTATGGTTGGAAAGATGGAAGAAAGTCTCCTACACCATTCATTTTTGATGAAGAACGATTTGGATTTGACTTCAGTACTTTTCAAGATCCTATCGATTATTGTTCTTATTTTATCGACGACAATATTTTAATAGGCGAATCTAATAAACATGGAAAAAGGAAAACAAACTGGCGGATTTCGATGCAAAGTCTTTCAAGCCTTCCTGGCTTCAAATGGGAACGTCAAATACCGAGGATTCGGACTACTGGAGTAGCAGGCCTGGATTAGGAGGATTTTCCCACATGTCCCACATTATGTCAAGAGCAAAATTTGAATCTATTCTTCGCAACCTGCGTTTTTGTGATAATGAACTGGATCCTGCAGGAGATTGGCTTTATAAGATTAGAGCTATTATGGAACATTTCAATGCAAAACCAGAGACTGCATTGATTCCGGGTAAATATGAAACATCTTTTCTGCCCACGTAATTTGTAGATCTGCTACAATTGGAATATACTGTAATGCTGAAAACAGCAAAAAGCAATTAATTGGAAAATAGCTCAATTAGCGCTGCAGCGAATAATCGCTGCAGCGGTCCGTTCCCGAGTTTTTGCTGCAGCGATTATTCGCTGCAGAAGTTTCGAATGGGTTAATTTGCTAGGTATCATTAGATGCACTCTGTCGATTGGTACAAAAACTACAAAACACCCCTCACCGAGTTGTGTTTCGTACTCTATACAAATCAACTCTAAACTTGTGCTGTTTAAGTTATTACTGCAAAAATTTATGATGATTTGAAAGCTCTCGAGTTCCGCTATGTTTTCGTAAAAAGTTTACAGAAAAATGTTTAACGGGAAGAAAATAGTCTGATAGTTTGTCATTTTGTAGTTTGTAAGGGGCCCATCTCTAGTTTAAATGCCCTGGCCCGGTCGGGACTGATATCCTTGGATTTCTATCTACCCAAGAACTTACCACAATCAAAGCAAAAGAGTAGACTCGATAGAATGAGTTGGCTAGCAATTGTCTATTCCGTAGAATGCAGATAATTAGTAGTAGATTGAGAATAGCTGATGGGATTCCGTAAGCCAAGTAAATGATGAATTGGGATAACATTCTTCAAATCTACAAACTTCTGTGACAAGGTTTATGCTATATATCTCGTTTAAATGATAAATCTATAGTATCAATGTTCAAGTCGAACACTTTGTAGTCTCAAAATTGAAAAATGGAGCTCTTGAAAACATCGCTTTGTCCGTGATTGCTAATTTCCTCCAATTTCCTATTGAACTCAACGAAAGAGGAAACATTTTCCTTTTTCTTTCTATTCTAATTCTCCTTTTTAGCTCCTGATCATTGTTGCTGGATTTTTTATTTAAAAACTGAAGACAATTTAAAGGAATACTGTACTTTTGTGCTATTTTGATTGATTCATAAAAAATTTATCTTTGTTGCGCTGAATAAAGCGATCTCGAGGCACTGCTTTCAAAATTGATTTTGCTTTTGATCGATGAAGGGAGGATCCATGAAAAGAATGTTTTTCTCAATGTTCCATTCACAATCAATCCAATATAAGCTTCGACTAATGTTGTACCGTCAGAAGCAAGATTGTGCTGAAATTGGTAACTCAAACTATTGGATTGGTGAATTGAAAACTGCGGGCTATTGTCATATGTGACAGTTTGAGCACTTTCTTCAAAAGAAACCCATTTTGGTGTCAATGGAAAAGTTGTAGAGAATCAAAAATCAAGCTTATATCCAAATTTTCAGAACGAAAGTGCTCAAACTGGGCTGACAGCTGACATCTCCAGTCCTCCATTTTTGAGTCTCACACTTGTCTCACACACAAACCAAAATCCTACAACGAAAGAGCTTATCTAATAGTAAAAGTACTATAAGAAAAGACAAACCACAAGCAGTTGTGCTGTTGGATCGAATAGTAGAGAACCCCAATCCTAGGAATTTAGTGATTCATTCATTTAGGAGAGAACTCACAATCCAAAACATGAGCCCAAGTTGAACAAAGAGATTCGCCAAGCAGATGAACAAAAGGTTGAGTTCGATCGAATGGGTCCCAAAGCTGAAAGTAATAAAGCTTAGCGCTTCAGATGAAGCTTAGCGCTCGATGGCTTAGCGCTTCAGATGAAGCTTAGCGCTTCAGATGAAGCTTAGCGCTTCAGATGAAGCTTAGCGCTTCAGATGAAGCTTAGCGCTTCAGATGAAGCTTAGCGCTTCAGATGAAGCTTAGCGCTTCAGATGAAGCAGCGCTCAGATGAGCAGCGCTCAGATGAAGCTTAGCGCTCAGATGAAGCTAGCGCTCAGATGAAGCTAGCGCTCAGATGAAGCTAGCCTCAGATGGCGCGCTCAGATAGCAGCGCTCGGGCGCGCTTCAGATGAAGCTTAGCGCTCAGATGAAGCTTAGCGCTCAGATGAAGCTTAGCGCTTCAGATGAGCGGCGCCAGATGAAGCAGCGCTTCAGATGAAGCTTAGCGCTTCAGATGGCTTGCGCTTCAGAGAAGCTAGCGCTTCAGATGAAGCGGCGCTCGTGAAGCTTAGCGCTCAGATGAAGCTTAGCGCTTCAGATGAAGCTTGGGGCGCTTCAGGAAAACCTGGCGCTTCAGGATAAACCTGGCGCTTCAGAGAAGCTTAGCGCTTCAGATGAAGCTTAGCGCTTCGTGAAGCTGGCGCTTCAGGTACCTGCGCTTCAGGATCCTGCGCTTCGGCTGGCTCTGCTGGCCATAGCTGAGCTCATAGCTGAGCGCTTCAGATGAAAACTGGCGTTAAACCAGGTTATCGAACTCTCCGCCTCTTTTGCCATTGATAATCCAACATTGAGCTCAAATCTCTTGGTGTTGGGTTGTCCAAGTTAAATATTCTTAGTATCATTAGATGCGCCAAGTCTTTCTCTGTCGATTGGTAGAAAAACTATTTCAATTCAACAGTCCGACATCAAGATATTTGAGCTCAAAGTTGGATTGCCGATGGCAAAGGGGGCGGGGCGCGTATAAAAGGTCATCTGATCTGATAAGCCCCGCCCCTTTGCCATTGGCAATCCAACTTTGAGCTCAAGTATCTTGATGTCGGGCTGTCCAATTGAAATAGTCTCTCTACCAATCGACAGAGAAAGACTTGGCGCATCTAATGATGCTAAGAATATTTAACTTGGACAACCCAACACCAAGAGATTTGAGCTCAATGTTGGATTATCAATGGCAAAGGAGGCAGGACTGATGTCCCACAAACGTTAAACCTGGCATAGTAGGCCAATCGAGACTTACGTTTTTCCAATGCATCGCAGATAAAGCATTTTTGAGACAGTTGCAAGATTGATGAGAAATGAAAGTAATGGATAGACATGCATCAATACCTTTTCTGCCCACAAAGAAATTGGGGCTTGCTAAAGGTGAGAGATGTTTCAAATCATCGGTACATCTAGTGCATTTTAGAGTTTGCCACTTAAAAGCACAGGACCGTAAGCGCAGTACTCAAGGTTAGAGTCAAACAAATCAAATCGTTCAAATCATACTTTCTAAAAACATCACAATGGAAGAATATGGTCAAGAAAAGGAGAAGAACACGAACTACGTTCTAGAAAAGTTTATTTCCTTTATATTTCCGATATTTGAAACAATTTATAGCTTTTTTTATGCGCACATCTTTTAGAAAAAATGATTTAATGGGAAGAAACTCTACTCAAAATCATTTTATTAATCATTATCAGCTTTATAAAAGGCTTTAAAGTTAACCAACGTTGACTCGATCTGTTGGCGCATATCCATTTTCAACAGGAACATAATAGCCAGTTAGAAAAATAATCTGATAGTTGAATCCAAATCCCAAAAGGAATACCCCAATAGTGGCACGCCGTAGATTGGTTTGCTTCCATAGCTGTAAAAAGTTAAACGTAAAGAAGCTAGGTGCAAGCCCTTTACCAACCTTAGCATGCAGCATTGGGAACCAAACCGAAGTGAAACGATTTAAATGCATAAGAATCAGAGCAAGCTGTTCGACATGAAAAGCTGAACATTGCCACATATAGAAAAGACGAAATGGTGGGAAATTTGTGGAGATATCCGTATAGAAGTTGACAGTCGATGGGAGCTCTTTGGGCTTCAATGTTATCCACGTGTTCAAATGTGTGGCAAGGTACTGAGATACTTGTTTAAGGACTGGTTTGTTTAATTAAAAGGGTGTTTTGTTATAAAAGTAGGCCCTGGCTTGGTTACAAAATAAAAAAAGCCAAGAAAGATTCTGAACCTTGCGCAAAACTCCTCCAAACAGGTTAGGCTTGAAGTTGAAGTTGAAATTTATCTCTAGCAATCAGCTTTAACTTTATTTGCTAAGAATCAGAAAAAGCGTGTCTAGGGGTTATTTTTGACGCTGATCACGAAACACATGTTTTTAGCTCAAGGTTTCTGCCAACGGAAACTAACGAAGCGTGAAAACAGCCATTTTTTGGTCCTGCCGCCCTTTACTAAAATAGCTGTAAAAACTTTTAGAAAAGAGAGATCTCAAAACGGTTTTTACCAATCGATCCGTCTTGAATTCAGCTTTTGGATGAGCTATAAAACGCCAAAATTGGACAAATTTAAGGTACTCTCCCAAAAAATCGGCAAGGACTTTTCCATCAACCCAATATTTCAATTGGACAGCCCGACATCAAGATATTTGAGCTCAAAGTTGGATTGCCAATGGCGGGGCGCGTATCAAATGCTCAAATATCTTGGTGCTGGGCCGTCCAATATCAATAGTAATTGTACCAATCGACAGCGAAAGACTTGGCGCATCTAATGATAATGGCGAAGAGGGCGGGACACGTATAAAAGGCTATCAGACATCTGATAAGCCCAGTCCCTTTTATTTTTATCTCTACAGCAATCAGCTTTAACTTTTGCCATAAATCCACCTACCACAATGAGCACAAAGACGTAAACCCGATAGAATGAGTTAGCCAATAGAAGTTTATTTCGAAGAATACAAATAATCAGTAATAGATTTAAAATAGCTGATGGAACTCCGTAAATTAAATAAATGATGAATTGGGTTAACATTTCAACAAAAGATGGTTGTAAGCTTTTGGAAAATGTGCAAAATCTTCTATTTTTTTCTTCTATTGGCCAAAATGGCCCTTTAAAAAGTAGCAATTAAGCAAACCGATAGAAGTATTTTGAAAAACTTTGTAAAATTATAGTCTTCTTTTTTAGATCAAGCAGTGGAAGTGTGGGTGTAAAATGCAAATTTTTTTTTTAGAAAATAGTAGTTTATGAAAGCTAGCAACAAACACTATATTTAACAAAAAGTATATTTGAATTCAATCCTTTCGCTTTATTTTGTGAGCTATTGACAGTTTACCAACATTCCAGGGGCTAACAAATAGCTGGTTTAATGTTTTCAAAGAATTTCAACGAATTTCAAGAGCCGGGTTGGCAAAATCTCTACATTTCTAGGCCAATCAAAAAAAGCCAACTATTTTGATTGTGGTGACCTTTTATATGCGGCCCGGTCTTTTTCCTATCGGCAATCTAACTTTGAGCTCAAATATCTTGATGTTGGGCTGTCCAATTTAAATATTCTTGGTATCATTAGATGCGCCAAGTCTTTCTTTATCGATTGGTAGAAAAACTATTTAAATTGGACAACCCAACACCAAGATATTTGAGTTCAAAGTTGGAGTGCCAATGGCAAAGGGGCGGGGCTATCAAACATCTTGCCCCGCCCCCTTGCCATTGGCAATCTAACTTTGAGCTCAAATATCTTGGTGCTGGGCCGTCCAATTTCAATAGTTTTTGTACCAATCGACAGAGAAAGGCTTGGCGCATCTAATGATAATGGCGAAGAGGGCGGGACGCGTATAAAAGGCTATCAGACATCTGATAAGCCCCGCCCCTTTGCCATTGGCAGTCCGACTTTGAGCTCAAATATCTTGGTGCTGGGCCGTCCAATTTCAATAGTTTTTGTACCAATCGACAGAGAAAGACTTGGCGCATCTAATGAAATCAAGAATATTTAAATTGGATAACCCAACATCAAGATTTTAGAGCTCAAAGTTAGATTGCTGAGGGAAAAAGGGGCGGGGCTTATCAGATGTCCGATAATCAACTGTTTTTGCTCAATTTCTGTGAATTCCAGCTCAAATCAAGCAGAAGCCAAGGTTTTAGATCAAATCCAATAGTATGTTTGTAATTCTAGGGCAAGACCATTGAAAGTCATTGAGCTTGGCTTGGCTTTTGAATTTTTAGCCAATCATGATGAGTAAAACACCCAATTTGAGCTATTTTTTGACAAATAGAGACTTGAATCTTTTTAAGATTTAGCCTTGTTTTTTTGTTTGTTCGGTAATTTTGCTGAAATCGATTCTCAAACATTTATTCTTCACCCATAAACGCACTCTTTGCAGCGTTGATTAAAGGGAATTTCCCTTTCCCGCAAAGACCTGCCCAATCATCGGTGACTATTTGAAAAAGCATGATGCCCGCACAACCTGAAACACAAGCTTTTGATTGTATTTGAATTTACCATTTCATGAAGAGCTCTTGCTTTTTTTAAACGTACCAATATCTTTTGCATATTTGGCTTTGATTCCTACACTCAAAGGATTCTCCGTCGTCAGCCAAACTTTGTCAGTTCCTTTAACAATTTCTTTTGCTTTTTTTCAAGAATAGTTTACCAACAATATACGAAGAGGCAGCTTTATCATTCCAATATTCTTTGTATGTCACCTCTCCGTGTTTTGTTGATGTCAAGTTGCAGACCTGAAGTTGCTTATAGTTCGTCAAAACCGAGTCGAGCGCATTGTCGATGTATACAAGACCATCCACTCCAGCAATTACGGAGACGGGGCTCTCGATAACTAGCTGGGACAAATGCGACCTTTTTTTGCGCACCTGAACATTTGCGCACCTTTTTCTGCGCACCTGAACATTTGCGTACCTTTTTTGTGCTAGAAAAGGCCTTAGGAAAGGCCCTAGAGCCTCAAAAATGCTTCCATATAAGGGAATCGTATGCATAGTACGAATTTCAACAAAACAAACCTCGCTGACACGTAAAATTTGAGCCAAAAGGCAAAAACTACGCAACTTAACGCTTTTCCATAGTTTATGAAAACATTTTTGAAGCTCTACGGACTTTCCAAAAGGACTTTTCCAGCAAAAAAAGGTAGCATTTGTCCCACTTCCTATCATTCCATTGTTTTTAAGAGTTTAACTTTTGTCAGCTCCGAACCAAACTGATATTTTAGTTACTATTGTTATTATTGAATGATTTGTCTATTCTTATGCAAATGTGTTCTTCCCTGTGCTTATCCCTTTTATTGCCGAGAAGGGGCGGTCCTTAGGATTGCCTAGGAGGACAAGGAAGACTCTCATTTTGAGTCCCCCCTTCCCCTTACACTCATTTCTAATCTATTCATCTTATTGTATTACTGTAAATAAAGATACATATCTTCCGGGTCTATGCAACTGCAGTACAGGTCGGTCATTTCACAGGGGCTCCTACGTTGGAAGAGTTGAGTTGGGTTGTCGGGGTGTTAGAGATGGCGGGATATCAAAAGGGATTCACTCTCTTTAACTTAACCCAAATTCTAGTCCACATTCGTCTATACCTAGGAACGTATACTTTTCTAAAACTCTGTTGAGTTCTTGTTTTTATAAAAGAAAACAATTGTTTAGATTGAAAATAAATGACAAAACTCACATCAGTGTAACAAGAAAAATCGAATACTTCACCTTCAGCTGGAGCATAAGGCCAACTCCAATAATAGTTCACCAATCGAAAACCCTGAATAAGGTAAGTAAAAATACTCATTAACTTATACAATCCTAGATTCTTTTTAATTTTTAATCTTTTTTAACTCACTAGATTGTACACTGGAATCCCGAAAACCGTTTTATTCAGCCAAAGACCAAGCGAAGAGTAGGTTTCCATTGAAGATCCCTGAAAGTTCAATTTGTTAGAGTCAAGTCGTAGAAAATGAAAAGAAGAATATAGTTTTGACCCCTTTGAAAGGATACTTTATTTACAAGGATTGACCAAACAATCCACAAGGCGAGGCCAAAGAACAGACCAGATACTATACGCAGAATTTTACGCTGATTCCGATGATGCTATGTGGTATCGATGCTGAAAAGCGAGGACCGGTAACAAGGAAAACAACCTCACCACCTCGAAGTTGTTGTTAAATTGATGAAACTCCAGTTGGGCTGGTGTTTTGTAAGTATATGATAATTATGCTTCATCATTTATACTTATTCAAAAAAAGCCAGTTTCCCTTAATCTCCATAAAAATTTCTGTTGGTTGCTGGTGGTTGTGGTATCAAAGTGAACATTTTTGATATTTTTTCACTTTTCCCCGTTTTTATGACTCCCTATGCATGAAATTTCTGAGCCATCGATCTGAGAATTCAGCATAGCAGATAGCAGCTAGCAGATAGCAGCATCGATAGCAGATAGCAGTATCGGCATCAGCGTAAAATTCTGCGTCGTATAGTATCTGGCTCATGTCATTTGGCCATGTCCACCTCAGCCTTGTGACTTTCCCTTGTTAATAACTCACCGAGTTCATCTCCCCAATAATACTATACTCTCGACTCATCGGTCGAAGCGGAGCATTGAAACCGACAACCGGATTTGTCCAAGAATACACATGAAAATCGTAATTCATCACGTTCACAAAGTCACAATATCTAAAAGTTTCTAACTTTAAAAATCGTTTCCTCACAAACTTGCTAAGTTTCGGCAAATCGTAGGCTTTTCGTGTGATCGTTGGTGGGCCAGATGTAGCCATTGATAGAAGATATTGAGTGCCATAGGCTTGCCGAAGTGTCTAAATTCAATATCCATCAATATAACTCTTTCTTTATTACCTTTAACAAATTATTCAACAGAAAACGATCGCTTTTTTTCGCATCCCAACTCCAAACGGGAAATTCCCAATCTAAAAATCGAATTTTTAGACTTTTTATTCTTTTCAGGACCAAACCTAGATCAATTCCATCGAGATTAAACTTTCGAAAGTGTGCAACACTGTCATTAGCAAATTGAAGCATAAACATCGGTGATGAGACTAATGTCGACCAGTGTGGATTCGAAGCAATTACTGAGAGCATCAGTTTCGCATTTGGATTCTTCACCTTCAGTCGAGAAAATGTTTCACTCACAGTGTCTGAAATTTTAGGCTCTTGTCGGAGTTGGAGAGATTTTTTTGGGTACTTTGAATAGATCATCACGCTATATCTTTGCTAACAACGCTATATCTTTGCTAACAACGCTATATCTTTGCTAACAACGCTATAACTTTGTCCAGAGATAATATTTTTGTTAGCTTTTCATCTCATTGTATAGAGGACATTTCAGGCTTTCAAATGACACCAAAATATAGTTTGATTGGATTTTTCATTCCCATGCAAACCAGCCGACAAAACTAGCGAGCCTCGTTAGCCTTGTTTGCTTAGAGTTGGGTCTGATTATTCGATCTTTTATTGATAATGTTCGCCAAGCCCGTGTCCAGAAACATTAAACAATTTATCAAAGGGGCAAACCAAATCTTTTAACCCTAATCAAACTAGGAAGCCAATCCACTTTATTTAGCAATCAAATGCCAAGGGAAGGGCAGTTGCCCCCGCTGTCCCACCCTCGGCACGGGCCTGATGCTCGCTATTTTTTGTGATTCATCGCTATTGATTAAAGAAAAAGTGTAATTTTTCATTGTCACACTATTGACCACTGTTACTGATCGCTTCTTATGTTCGATTAATAAGCAAGTCTAGCCGGAAGTAGTCAATAAAACTGGATTTTCCAATCGAACTGTATTTGGTGTAGTGGAATAAGTTTATAGTAGTCATTAAATGTGAACATCTTCTAGAAAACCTCTTACTCTACTCTACTCTTACTCTTACTCTACTGAAAACCCTAAAAAACAAGAATCGAACTAACCATTCGGTAGTTGAAGTACTCCATTTGGACCAATCTTTGTTGTGCCAATCAATAAATAATGTGTACACAACTTTGCATCAACGTTCTCTATTCCTGGATTTTCATATCTAGATTCATTTTTAAAATCAATAAATCAAATCTCTCTAAAATCAAATCTCAAACTTACGTATAATAACAGGAAATGATCGTTGAACTTATATCCAAAAATATCGAAAAAAGAATAAAGAAAAATAGTTTCCTTGAAGTTTTCATTGTTGAAATCGTCTCTAAAGCAAAATTGAATAAATAGAAAAATCGTTAAATGAATGAAAAGTAGTGAAGGAAGTTTTTTTGTCAGTCAAAACGACAAGGTAGTTCAGGAAAAGAGTCATTGGTGATTGATAACACGTGGTGTGTCTGAGTGGCCTGTTGAGAAAGAGAAAGAAACGGGAATTGACAAAAAAGATTCTCTCAGTCTATCATATTATAGTACTGAGATTGTTTTTTGGGGGATGGTCAAAAAGCGCCATAATAGAAAACATGCAAAACAGCGCCGTCAAATTTCTCAAAATCCAAAAAACCAAGCCGGTTCAAGTTTTATATCAAAAAATTCCTTGCATTCTTGGCTACATGATGGGTGAAACAGTTTTTTAAAAAAGTTAATATTTCATAGATAAAAAGAGCACTCAAAATGGGTCTCTAAAGATATTCAGTTAACCAACTGAGTATCACTCGACACACATTTTAAGTGCTCTTTTTATCTATGAAATATTAACTTTTTTAAAAAACTGTTTCACCCATCATGTAGCCAAGAATGCAAGGAATTTTTTGATATAAAACTTGAACCGGCTTGGTTTTTGGATTGTGAGCAATTTGACGGCGCTGCTTTGACTACCCCCTGTTTTTTTGATTGAAATGATTGATTGAATTGAAAGATTGAAATGTGAAAGTCAGAAAGTCAACGCATTTTGACAGTGACATTTGTTGGTAGATAGCCAATTACTGTTACTGTTTCGAAGCACATTTTCTTCAGCTTATATATAGCTTAATTCTACTATTGATGAGCATCTCCACATCAATTTCAAATTCAAGCATCATTTTCAAGCATCAATTTCCCAGTAATCCCAGTAAAAATCACTTTTCTGAGAAAAAAAATCAAAGAAAAACGGTGAAAAATGAATAAAACAATGGAAAATGACTTTAAGAAATGAAAATTGCGAATTACGTGCATTTTAGTGCATTTTAGAATGCGTCCCTTCTCTGTAAACGCTCTTGCGTGCTCAAATAGTTTAAAGATAGCAATTGTTCGATAGCAACTGCGTTGCTATCGAGCTTAAAGATTGCATTGCTATCGGGCTTAAAGATTGCATTGTTAGCGAGCTTAAAGATTGCATTGTTATCGAGCTTAAAGATTGCATTGTTATCGAGCTTAAAGATTGCATTGCTGTTGAGCTTAAGATTGCATTACTATCGAGCTTAAAGATTGCATTGTTAGCGAGCTTAAAGATTGCATTGTTATCGAGCTCAAATAGCTTAAAGATAGCAATTGCTCAAAGATTGGAAACTAGAACTGAAACTGGACATAAGAATTTGCAAAATCGTAGCATTTTGTTGAATCAAAAACTTCTCTAAACTTTGCAAGCTTTCAAAATAAGCTTTAAAGGTTTCAAATTCAGTTCTTGTTCAAATTAAAACTTAAAACTTATCAACTAAGTTAAAACTAATTCTAAGTTAAAACGAATTTAAAATTTCTAAGGTTTACCTGGCAGAGAGCTTAATTAGACTTTGACTAGAAAAAATAGAAACCAGTAAGCCTTTACTGAAGTAAGCCTTCAGTAAGCCTTCAGTAAGCCTTCAGCAAGCCTTCAGTAAGCCTTTAGATAATCAAAAATCAATCTAGAAAGTTAGAGAAGCTGATTATCATAAAATAGAAATCGGAATGATTGTGTGAATGACAGCTAAACGCTAAAAGCTTCTGATCATACCGTTCAATCAAAAACCAAAAGATCAGGTGATCGCTTGTTTGTTTGTTAATCAATTGAGCTATTGATAACACTGGTCTAGACAAAGCGGGGAGACTAGTGCAGATTTTGAGAACTCTCTTTTCACTGTCTGCCAGTTATCAGTTGTGAAAGAGTGACAAAGAGTGCTTGTTTCGAATGAAAGAATCGATTTGATTGGAACTAATGACCTAGAATTCATGATTCCAATAAACACATGGCAAAATTTCTTCAACTGAACACCGATAAATTGTAAATTTTACTTATTCTCTTACGGGAAAAACTTTTTTTCCAAGAAATCTGAGATTTTTCTCGATTCTTCTGGCTTTGAAGCTTTAACTGACTACCTTTATTCAAACTACTCAACTTCAAACTACTCAACTTCGATCTCATTTTAATGGCTACACAACCAAGACCTGTAACTTTAAAATACTCAATGTTGGATTTAAAATCTTTTAGAGATTACTTCTACTGTTCAAAATTTTGATTTTTTCGATGATTTCTTTTTTTTTCTATTGGATATTTCTATCAAATGATGAAAGAAGAGAAGTTTTGGATGCAGGTAAATACCGTAAATACTGTAATAGTATCCCACCGCCCTCGTACAGTCGCGTAGTCGCAAAAGTTTTTTCGTATTTCATTTTTTTTCATAGCGCCCGTACTTTCAAAAAATGTGTCTTTGGTATCAAAAAATAGCCCTGAATCTCAGCTATTTTTTGATACCTAAACGCGCATTGTAGCATAAACCAGTGTCGAGAAAAACTAGTTCAAAGCTAGACTACGCAACACTCCGTACCGCTAGACTCTTGTCTAGCCTATCCTGCCTGGTCCAATGGTTCTGTCTGGCTTAGCCTAGCTCTAGATTTTCTCGAGCTGATCAAGTCTTGGTAGGTTCTGGTCTGGTTCTGGTCTGGTCTAACCCAGGTCTGGCCTCATCAGACTCTGGTCCGACCTAGCCCAAGTCTGAGGGGCTTTGTCTGGTCTAGATCAGGCTGACCTAGTTCTGGTTTGGCTCAAGTTTGGCATGACTGAATGGCTTAGAATTAAAGTAGAGTTTGGCACTTTTTACTTACCGTAAATACTGTAATAGTATCCCACCGCCCTCGTACAGTCGCATAGTCGTTGTTTAGTATTTCGTTTTTTGCAAAGCGCCCGTACTTTCAAAAAATGTGTCAAAATGGTATCAAAAAATTGGAAACACCGGTTCTCCTATGGGTTGAGGACTAGGAATGCAAAATATGATCGGCGCCGGGATTCGAACCCACGGCCTCTCTCTTATCAGGCGAACATTCTATCAATGAGCTGACAAGGATCTCTTTGCTACTAGTTTAGGGCCTTATGTCTTAATGTTCTTTCAATCCTCTTTTTAAACACTTACAGTAACCGAATCCAAGGTAAGCCGCAAGAGACTCTTTCCGGCAAAGATTCCAACAGATCCGATTGTGAACATAGAATGCTAAAATTATTGTACAAGCAATTTCATTAGCCTATTGCCGTCAGAGTAGGGCATTATGCCTTACTGCTGAATGGAGTTTTGCTCATGAGTAAACGAGATTCGTTTGAATTGATTCAAAATTGTGATATCAGTAAAATTGTAGACAAATTCTTCCTTCAAGCAAATCTTTTTAAAATAATCTTTTTGCAGATTCAAGGAAATATTATTCTTCTAGGTTCTGAGTGGATAATTTTCAGTAAACAAGCTTTGACACTTTTTTAGAGACTTCAAAAGAAAATCTTTTCATCGGTTGTCCACCGTTCAACTTTACATGGGATTCTCCTGCAGTTATGCAAGCGCTAGGCAATCGAACAAATGCAAAATGTTGGTAGAAATCGATAGAAATCGATAGAAATCGAAATAGATTGATCGAAATTGATTGATTCCATTTTAGATCAATGTAAACGAGAAAACGGATTGACTTTGTCTGAAAACGGGAAAATTCGGCTGAATACAGAGTGGCCCAATTACGAAAATCACACCTGTGAAGCCAGGTGTTGGATTGGATTTCAATTAAAACTATGAAGTTCTATATCATCAGACTATCTGATTGATAATTGGGAAATCAGCCTTGCCTGAATACCTTTTGCTTTAGATTACTGTAGAATAATGAAAGACTATAGTACTAATCACTGTAGCTCTAACAATTTCCCGCTTTCAGTTGTGCCATCCCGAAACATCCGTACAACTATACTCTTGGCCCGAAATGCATTGTTGGAAAGAATTGTGATAAATTCAATTGTGATTTTATTTTGGTGAACTGCTGGAGGAATGGGGAACATATTCACATCGATGTGCATATTCAAATCGTGGAGAATAGGTTAGTGAGAGCTTAGTGGTTAGGTTAACGGTTAAAAACGCTCCAGAACCAAGCTACGACTTAACTTATCACTATAACTTATCACTATCACTTTTTTCAGATTCTACAGGGTAGCCAACAATTATAGTGCCGTACTTCTGAGGGCCTAGATTGGCGAAAATTGAGTCAATCGTTTTGATTTTTCTGGAGTTAAATCTTAAGTATCTCTCCTGGAATGTTGTCCATTATCTGATCGATTCAAGTTTTCAACTTTTTTATATAGCCTTCCAAAGTTGAGAGCCGAATGTCGTTACTCAATTATGAGATTTTGTTTATATGAAAAAGTTGAAAACTTGAATCGATTAGATAATGGACAACATTCCAGGAGACATACTGAAGATTTAACTCCAGAAAAATCAAAACGATTGACTCAATTTTAGCCAATCTAGGCTCTCAGAGGTACGGCACTATAGTTGTAAGCCAAAGCAGGTTCAGGCAAACATCAAGCTTTTTACTTGAGCTCTTTAACTAAACCTAACTTCTTAACTGTCCCTTGTCAGCTTTTAAACTAAACTTACTCCCAAGTTGACTCATTGTCGGCTTTACTTTCTGGCTTATCTTTTACTTTATCAGCAATTAGTAAAAAAATTTAGTCGAGACCGCGAAAAGCAATTCGAGAATTTATACAAAGCTTCGCCATCAAAAGAACAAGCTCACCGAAGTGATCTTTACCGTCCCGATGTTGTCATCTTCGTCATTGATTCTGTTGGCCGTTTTGTGGCAAAAAGGTTGAGCTTTGAAGCTTTGAGCTTTGAAGCTTTGAGCTTTGAAGCTTTGAGCTTTGTTCTCAGTCAGAATCAGTATCAAGTCAAGTCAAGGCAAATCAGCTGAAGAAGATTTGAGCTTTGTTCTCAGTCAGAATCAGTTTCACCAATTCAGCAAAATTTCTTTCGTTCAGGGAATTGCAAGAAACCTACAAATTCATGACGGATGAGCTGAAAGCTGTCGACTTCACTCAATACACTCAAAGCGCTTTTGACAGTCGGAAAAATGCGTTGGCAATTTTTTGGGGTTAGTCACGATTTTGAGGTCATGATAATCAGCAAAATCGAGAGTTTAGGCGAAATCGGCGCAACAATTGATCGAACTGAATATGGTGGAACGATTTTAAAAGAAAACAGTGGATGCCGGATTTACTACGATGATCGACCGAATGTGCAGTTTGAGTACGAGGTTTGTGAATGCCAGGCAGAGAGTAGCTGAAATGAAATGGTCAAAATGGAGTAGCTAGATCAGGGTTAAAGCAGCACCAGACTAAAGTTGAAAAATTTTGATTTACAGACTTGCCAGTTTGAAAAAAATCCCTGGTGCTAGTAGTTAACTTTACAGTTTTCTAGCAACCAAAATAGTGAAGAAGCCTACTTACCAATGATGCTTTTTATACTTGTGTTGACAAATTATTCTTTACCTTTAGAATAGAAACAGGAGAATTTTCAGTAAGCAAGCTTTGACACTTTTTTAGAGACTTCAAAATCGTTTCATCGGTTGTCTACCGTTTAACTTTACATGGAATTCTCCAGCAGTTATCAAGACGCTAAACAAAAAGACGCTAAACAATATTCCATGTAAAGTTAAACGGTTAAACAAAGCCAAGATTGCTGACAATAAATACGATCATTTTGCTTATTAAGACAGTGAACAACTTCTCATCACTAAACACAATGAAACGATGTTGCTGGTTCGGGAGCCGTTGAATAAGGGCATCGGGTTAGTATGCCATGCCAGAGTCAGGTTGGTTCTGGTCCTGGTAACTTTGGACTAAGCCAAGCCTGTACATCAGGTTAGCATCAGGCCCGGGCAAACCTAGTGTAGACCTGAGGAAAGGCTAAAACAAATCGAAACGAATACCAAAACCCGGACCGACCTAGAAACCAGGGCAGAACACTGATAACTGAATAAGCTACCCTAATGATACTAACTATACTAGGACCGACCTGATCTGCTTTAGAAAAATGCCTAGCTACATTACTTTTGTTTAAATCTGTCATTTCAGATATACAAGAACGGCCGATTGTCTGATCAAAAAGTTGGACCTCCGATCGATGTGCTATTGCAAAGTACAGCCCAATGAAGCTCCCAAAAAGTCATGAGAGTTCATGCTTTGAATTGAGACCCTAAAGGTTTTTTTTGTCTTAATGGTACTGCAGTTTAAGATTCTTTTGATTAAATCTTTGCTAATGTTTGTTTCTTGAGCAAATCATTTATACAGACATTGGGTACATAATCAATATCACAAAAAGTTTGACTTGTTTGATGTTTTTGTCTCTTACAATCCACCGAGCAAGTCACCGAGTCCTCTGAATTTGAATTGGTTTTGATTATTCGGGAACAGACTCACAATCCATTGGTGAGTCCGCCAACAACTCCAGTAAGACCTCCAAGTCCGCTAGTCAATCCGCCCAAACCACCAAGTCCACCAACTCCACCAAGACCTCCAGTCAAACCACCAAGAGCATCAAGACCGGGAAGGACGCTGAAATGAGATGAATGGGAGATTTCTGGATCAAGACTTACACAAGAAGTTTCCCAAGAAGTGGCTCGATCAATCCCTCGAGGAGTTGGCACACCAAATCCTGGACTGTTTGGAGGAGACCGATTTGTTTGATGAGTGAATCATCAACCAAAGACCAAACGGGCGAAAGAACTCCAGTCAAAATTTGAAGACAGAGACCCGAGTAGAGATTTGATTCACCGGTCAACACTCCAGAGAGAAGATATTCGACATTGGCCTCCAATTCCAATCCACATGGACCCATCGGGACGAGAACGACTGAGGGCAGTTCGAGGCCACCCTGGAATGGAGTTTATGGAATATTGAGTCATGAATCGAATACCTTAAGAATCTCCAAGTGTTGGATGGTGTATTTGTTGAATTGTGTTCCATTCACAGTCTCGACAGTCTTGGTCAAGATGTTCACGTGGCTGACTAAATGATTGACATGACCTTTCTTCTATTTGTTACTCACTGAAATCCAAGATACAATCCAATACTTGAAGATCTGGAATGAGTGGGCATTTACAAGTTCCATTCACATTCGGAATTGGAATCTTCGGGGTAACAGTTGGAAGAGTGACTGACGGGACGGACACCGGGGGAAGACTTCCAGCTAATAGTGGAGTGGCCAAGAAAGCGATGATGAAGATTGGAGTGGTCATTTTCTCGGAATGAGTAGAGAGATGAGAATGTAACGGTTGGATGTGATGATTTTCCAGTGCCATCTTTTATAGTGCCAAAATTCTTCAAAATATTTTTGAACCATGATTGGTGATCAGCTTACGAAAAGCTGACTATGAGTTCGTTTTGAAAACAGTCTGATTCAAACGATTCGGTGTTTTGACAGAGAAATTTTCATATTCCTCAATGAGCCTTTTTTGAATAAACAAAAAAATGAACAAGGAGAGATATTTTTGTTTCAAAAAAGTTGACAGATTGTTATTGATTATTATGGTAGGATTATTGTATAACTTACTGAAGTCAGCCTCAATTTTAGTTATTACATCATCTCCTTTTCCACAGAATCAAAATAGACATCAACCCAGTCAGAGATCGTCCAAAACAGCCCTCATTGTTCTCTCTCCGTTCAAACCGAACGAACACAATATGGAAATTTTTATATCAAAACAAGACCAGACCAGACAGTTTTTCAATAAAATGATCAAACCAAAAATGAGCTGTTTTGACCGATGTTCTATATTTGACACTATGATCAGAAATGATGATTGAACAAAATATTTTGCTTAAACACACTATAAAAGGCAAGCTCAGGAACAATTCAGCACCACATTCAACAGTTCACTTCTCAATTCTCAGCTCATCTAGAGAAAATGACCACATCAGTCTTCTTCATCATCGCTTTAATGGCCACTCCTCTATGGGCTCAACCCAGTCTTCCACCAGTCTCAGTCCCCTCAGCCATCTCAACTCTTCCAACTGTTACCCCGAAGATTCCAATTCCGAATGTGAATGGAACTTGTAAATGCCCACTCATTCCAGATCTTCAAGTACTGGATTGTATCTTGGATTTCAGTGAGTAACGAATAGAAGACAGAGCATGCCAATCATTTAGTCAGCCACGTCAACATCTTAACCAAGACTGTCGAGACTGTGAATGGAACACAATTCAACAAATACACCATCCAACACTTGGAGATCCTTAAGGTATTCGATCCATGACTCAATATTCCAAAAACTCCATTCCAGGGTGGCCTCGAACTGCCCTCAGTCGTTCTCGTCCCAATGGGTCCATGTGGATTGGAATTGGAGGTTGATGTTGAATATCTTCTCTCTGGATTGTTGACCGGTGAATCGAATCTCTACTCGGGCCTCTGTCTCCAAATTTTGACTGGAGTTCTTTCACCCGTTTGGTCTTTGGTTGATGATGCACTCATCAAACAAATCGGTCTCCTCCAAACAGTCCAGGATTTGGTGTGCCAACTCCTCGAGGGATTGATCGAGCCACTTCTTGGGAAGCTTCTTGTGTAGGTCTTGATCCAGAAATCTCCCATTCATCTCATTTCAGTGTCCTTCCCGGTCTCGATGCTCTAGGTGGTTTGACTGGAGGTCTTGGTGGAGTTGGTGGACTCACTGGAGGACTTGGAGGTCTTACCGGAGTTGTTGGTGGACTCACCAATGGATTGTGAGTCTGTTCCCGAATAATCAAAACCAATTCAAATTCAGAGGACTCGGTGACTTGCTCGGTGGCCTGTAAACGCTAATAGTAAGAAGCAATCAACTCGTGAAATTTCTTTCGATTCTTTGATTGTTTCATTATGTGCCCATTGCCTGTATAAATGGTTTTGCATTTGCAATGTTTCATTTGAATTGCTTAAAAGGGATTGTATTGGTCAAGAATCAATAATAGCTATACTTTATTCTTGGAAAATTATCGATAAAACTGTGTGAGGTGCACGATTTCCAGGGTTGTAAAGAAAATGATTAGGACAATACTTGATGATCTAAAGTTCCTCATTAATGATTAAAAATTGTCTAAACCCCATAAGCCTTTGAGCATCTTGGAGCTTTGTGGTAATCATATGGTGTGTCATCAAGCCAGATCTTTGTCGTATTGTGATTATAAAAACAACCATCACATGTCAATCCGATCACAGCTTGTGATTGTTTTTCCGTTTTATTTTTGAAGAATTTATATTGCTTTCAATTAGGGATTTGGATTTTTTGATGACAAGGACTGTCTTTTTGTCATTTTCAAGAAGTACGATATATAAGTTGCTATTGACAGTTTGATGATCAACAAAAATGCCCATCACTCTTCCAAATACCTGTCAAATATTTCCACTGATCTGATTGTGTCTGGAAACAAGATGAGAGTCCATATTCTGACACAATTGTTCAGCTTCTGAGGTGTTGAAGGTTCGACTGGGATGCATCAAGTTTGGATCCTGAAATTTGACATTTAAATGTAAAGAGAACTTTAGTTCTAGCTTTGGATTCAACCCACTCACTTAAAAATAGTCACAGTTTCCTTGGAATTCCTCCCAATCATCGGGGCAATCTAAAATTAATTTATTATGCGTTGATTTGCAAAGATTCCTGTCTAATATGATATTGTTTAACAAATCACAGGATTTGTTGAGCTACAATTGGCAGAACACCAACGACAGGTGACTGGATAACAGCACAATCTGTATCGGAAAGTGGTTTTGGAAATGATTGTCCTTCTCAAGTGCTGAGTTTTCTATAATGTGACAACTTTTGGCTCTAACTTGTAGCCAATCAATTCTTTTTGTGCATTTTGTTGGCATTTTGTTGGATATCAAAATAAGTTACGTCAAGGTTACGGTAGTTTTCGGGAGTTGACATGATTTAGAAGGCTACCATGGTCACCTGAAGGCCAATTTTGATATGCTAGCGGTTTTCCATCGTCCTATCTCCATGTTCCATTCAATCCCTTGATTACTCTAATAAACGAATCACTCAGCCCATAAACTAATAATTAGAATTAAAGAAATCTATAAGATTCTTTATTATTCAACTAACAAGGGAGGGTCAACTGGCTGGCCAAATTCTATGCGACCTCTACCATTCGACGCAGAATTTTTTTCTGATTCCGAATCTGTATTCCGTTTTTTCTAAATTACAATCTGCCAGGAGTTACAAGCGTCTAAAGTTTTGTTAGGACTCTGAATGGGTCTTAGGGGCCAAATATTCACTCCATTGGCGGTGGTCATTTGGGTCTTAGGGGCCTCCTTGCGGACCGATTCGGTGCAGCTGTAGCTGAGTGGTACGGCGTTCTTTTTCCGAGCGAGACCTCACGAGTTCGATCCCCACTTTAGCTTTTTCATTTGCTTCTTTTCTTTCCCCCCTTCTAAATTACAATATGCCAGAAGCTAAAAGCGTTCAAAGCTAAGGTTAAAGAACATTAGTCAGTACTTCTCGAAAAAAGAAGAAGCAAAAACCTAAGTGGGGATCGAACTTGTGAGGTCTTGCTCTGAAACGCTGTACCACTCAGCTACGGCTGCTCTGAAATGCCAGCGAGGCCGCAAGGAGGTCGCTAAGACCCAAATGACCACATTTTCAGAGTCCTAATAAAACTTTAGACGCTTATAACACCTGGCAGAATAACGTGCAGCAAAAACCGAAAGCTGATTCGGAATCAGCATAAAATTCTGCTTCAAATGGTATAGGTCGCATAGAATTTGGCCTTCCCTTGTAAGATCAAATTTTCACCCAAAACCTTTCAAATAAATTCTGCCATTTTTCTGCAAGCTGACCAATCATTGCATTCCCATAAGCATCTGATTTTTATAGGTCTTTCATTTGTTTTCTTGCACTGCTGAGCTGTTTGATAAGTGACGGCTGAAATGATAATTTGGCCACTCGGCTTTTTGAAAAGTTTGACTTTAAGTAGTCCAAATTAATCAGACAGCCAGAAATTCAAATCAAGATGTTCAAAAGATCAAAAAGCTCTAGCTTTTCTGTTCTGACCTGGCTGACAGGACTCTTTGACATCTTTGACTCAAAGTACTTCAGTTTTTTAGTATGGAAATGTTCGATTTGTTGGATGTTGGTATGTAAATGTTGGATCTGGTTGTCTTTTTTTATTCCCTATTGATGTTTAAGTCTAGCTCTTTTAGTTGTTGAGTAAACTAAGCAGATTCAAAATTTACAGGCCAAATTCAAGGCTTTTCTAGGCTTTCAAGCTTTAGGTCTGCTTATTTTTAGTACTGAAAGGACTGGAGAACTTTTAAGATTTGGTCAAGCTGAATTAAAAGTCTATCTTTTTCAATAAACCATTCTTCAGAAAATAAGCACATCCTTGATCAGACTCAAAAGCATTCTATGGACATTGAAATGCTGAAGAGAAAATTAATAAATTAGCTAGGAAACAGAAAATTTGAAGTACTTTCATAATGATGTTCTTCTTTCACGCTTTGTTTCAGCTTTTATATTTGGCTTTTTAGCCGATAAGAGTTGCTTTAAGGAAACAGCTTGATGAATCTTTTTTGGAACGAGTTAGTGACAATGACAAGAGGATGCCAATAAATAAACCATGAACTGATTGAAAAACTGTTTACAAAAGGATGAAAAATGACTCAATCTAAGTCCAAAAGATGTGCAATATGCTAGTTTTGACCAAATGTTAATCATTTATACAGACATTGGACGCATAATCAAGAAAGAATAGTTTTTGTCGCTTACAGGCCACCGAGCAAGTCACCGAGTCCTCTGAATTTGAATTGGTTTTGATTATTCGGGAACAGACTCACAATCCATTGGTGAGTCCACCAACAACTCCGGTAAGACCTCCAAGTCCTCCAGTGAGTCCACCAACTCCACCAAGACCTCCAGTCAAACCACCCAGAGCATCGAGACCGGGAAGGACACTGAAATGAGATGAATGGGAGATTTCTGGTTCAAGACCTACACAAGAAGCTTCCCAAGAAGTGGCTCGATCAATCCCTCGAGGAGTTGGCACACCAAATCCTGGACTGTTTGGAGGAGACCGATTTGTTTGATGAGTGAATCATCAACCAAAGACCAAACGGGTGAAAGAACTCCAGTCAAAATTTGAAGACAGAGGCCCGAGTAGAGATTCGATTCACCGGTCAACAATCCAGAGAGAAGATATTCAACATCAACCTCCAATTCCAATCCACATGGACCCATTGGGACGAGAACGACTGAGGGCAGTTCGAGGCCACCCTGGAATGGAGTTTATGGAATATTGAGTCATGGATCGAATACCTTAAGGATCTCCAAGTGTTGGATGGTGTATTTGTTGAATTGTGTTCCATTCACAGTCTCGACAGTCTTGGTTAAGATGTTGACGTGGCTGACTAAATGATTGGCATGCTCTGTCTTCTATTCGTTACTCACTGAAATCCAAGATACAATCCAGTACTTGAAGATCTGGAATGAGTGGGCATTTACAAGTTCCATTCACATTCGGAATTGGAATCTTCGGGGTAACAGTTGGAAGAGTTGAGATGGCTGAGGGGACTGAGACTGGTGGAAGACTGGGTTGAGCCCATAGAGGAGTGGCCATTAAAGCGATGATGAAGAAGACTGATGTGGTCATTTTCTCTAGATGAGCTGAGAATTGAGAAGTGAACTGTTGAATGTGGTGCTGAATTGTTCCTGAGCTTGCCTTTTATAGTGTGTTTAAGCAAAATATTTTGTTCAATCATCATTTCTGATCATAGTGTCAAATATAGAACATCGGTCAAAACAGCTCATTTTTGGTTTGATCATTTTATTGAAAAGATGTCTGGTCTGGTCTTGTTTTGATATAAAAATTTCCATATTGCGTTGGCTCGGTTTGAACGGAGAGAGAACAATGAGGGCTGTTTTGGACGATCTCTGACTGGGCTGATGTCTATTTTGATCCTATGGAAAACGAGATGATGTAAAAAATTGAGGCTGACTTCAGTAAGTTATACAGTAATCCTACCATAATAATCAATAACAATCTGTCAACAGGGTTCATTTTTGAAACAAAAATATCTCTCCTTGTTCATTTTTTTTGTTCATTCAAAAAAGGCACATTGAGCAATATGAAAATTTCTCTGTCAAAACACCGAATCGTTTGAATCAGACTGTTTTCAAAACGAACTCATAGTCAGCTTTTCGTAAGCTGATCACCAATCATGGTGTAAAAATATTTTGACCAAGTTTAGCACTATAAAAGACGGCACTGGAAATCACATCATCACATCCAACCGTTACATTCTCATCTCTCTACTCATTCCGAGGAAATGACCACTCCAATCTTCATCATCGCTTTCTTAGCCACTCCACTGTTAGCTGGAAGTCTTCCCCCGGTGTCCGTCCCGTCAGTCACTCTTCCAACTGTTACCCCGAAGATTCCAATTCCGAATGTGAATGGAACTTGTAAATGCCCGCTTATTCCAGATCTTCAAGTATTAGATTGCATCTTGGATTTCAGTGAGTAACGAATAGAAGAAAGGTCATGTCAATCATTTAGTCAGCCACGTGAACATCTTGACGAAGACTGTGGAGACTGTGAACGGAACACAATTCAACAAATACACCATCCAACACTTAGAGATCCTTAAGGTATTCAATTCATCACTTAATATCTCATAAACTTCATTCCAGGGTGGACTTGAGCTTCCCTCGGTTGTCCTCGTTCCAATGGGTCCATGTGGATTGGAATTGGAGGTTAATGTTGAATATCTTCTCTCTGGATTGTTGACCGGTGAATCGAATCTCTACTCGGGCCTCTGTCTCCAAATTTTGACTGGAGTTCTTTCACCCGTTTGGTCTTTGGTTGATGATTCACTCATCAAACAAATCGGTCTCCTCCAAACAGTCCAGGATTTGGTGTGCCAACTCCTCGAGGGATTGATCGAGCCACTTCTTGGGAAGCTTCTTGTGTAAGTCTTGATCCAGAAATCTCCCATTCTCTCCATTTCAGTGTCCTTCCCGGTCTTGATGCTCTTGGTGGTTTGGGTGGATTGACTGGCGGAGTTGGAGGTCTTACTGGAGTTGTTGGTGGGCTCACCAATGGATTGTGAGCTTGTTACCAGATAATCAAAACCAATTCAATTCTAGGGGCCTCGGTGACTTACTCGGTGGATTGTAAGCGACAAAAGCAGCAATTCTTTGTGATTTATGTACCAGATGTCTGTATAAACTTTGAGTTACATTTGTTTTTTTACATGTAGCTTTTTTCTTTCAAAGCAATGAAACAAAGGACAAAAAGAGAAATGAGAAATCAATCTTTCCCGAACGCTAATTTGTCCACATCATAGTGCAAATTGTTCAAAGAAAGGCGAATTCTTCACCTAATTACACGTGACGAAATGGAGAAATTTCAACAAAAAATCAGAATTGTAGTAAAATTTTTCACAAAAGCTGGATTATTGAAAAAGATTTTCTTTTGAAATCATCAAAGTCTGGATGAATTTAGTCATTTGATGATGAATATAATAGGCTGTTTTTTGAAATTAGCTTGGGATATCATGTTTTTTTGTCAATGAGTCAATTTTCAGACCAATAAATCCTTAGTTTCTATTACTTAATTAAATCAAAGAGTTTATCTTTCTATTTTGATTTAAATTTTGATCATTTTCATTGTTAAACCCAGTTGTTTAAAGGCCAATTTCTTTCAGAGTTCAAGTACCGTTTCAAGACTTTAGCTTAGTGTAGCTTTAGCTTTTAGCTAGTGCCTTTTGATTGGTAAGATGTGTAAGTTGCTTTTTTTTCTAACCATCAACACAATTACCATATTTTCTCTAATGGTGGTGCACCGAGCCGAGTTGGTGACTATTTTACGGTTTCCAAGCTTTTGCAGAAGCTCAGCACTCTAATCCCTCACAAGATCTCATCGTCAGCTACATTTTCCGACCCCACATCGATAGGTTCTCATAAGCGGTTCTCGAGATTTCGAGGAATTAAGGCGACGCACTCGGTGCACTACTATTAGAGAAAATATGGTACTCATACTCACTTTGGAGGGGGTAGCTCAGTCAAATACCAATCGCTGCGCACAGAGGGACAGTGGTCTCGTCTGCTTTATATATACCGTATTCTAATAGTAGTGCACCCCGACGAGCCGAGTTGGTGACTATTTTACAGTTTCCAAGCTTTTCCAGAAGCTTCCCACTCTGATCCCCCACTAGATCTCATCGTTAGCTACATTTTCCGACCCCACATCGATAGGTTTTCATAAGCGGTTCTCGAGATTTCGAGCAATTTAGGCGCTCAGGTGCTACTATTAGAGAAAATACGGTCACCAGTTTGAAACACTTGCTTTAACTTTGAAAAGACCAACTAGGGAATATCAACTTTTTTTTATGTGACCAAATGAGATATGCCACAGATTTTTCGATGCTTTGATTTGCAAAGAAAGAAATAGAATGACGGACTCGAACTAGAGGACCTTTGCCTTGAATTCTAACCCGCTGCCACTCAGCCACCACTGCTTCTTAAGGGAAATGCTTCTGGGAAATCTGTTTATAATCTCGGGATTTGATTTTTAATATCCCATATAAAACTTTTGACACTTATAGCTTTTGGCGCTTAGAGCTTTTGGCGCTTAGAGCTTTTGGCGCCTAGAGCTTTTGGCGTTAGAGCTTTTGGCGCTTAGAGCTTTTGGCGCTTAGAGCTTTTGGCGCTTATAGCTTTTGACGCTTATAACTTTTGACAGAGTGCTCCATAGTAGAAACGGAAAGCAGATTCGGAATCGGCATTGAATTCTGCGTCGAATAGTATATGGCTCGTGTCATTTGACCACCACACCCGTTCCCTTGTGAGTAATAGCTAAGTAATGCCAAGGTTTAGGACGTGAAGCCGGCAAACATCGGAATTAACACTGATACTCACTTGAAAGTTTTTCACTTTGGTGTTGCTAAGTGGAATAACCCGTGGAACATGTCATTTGGCCACAAACCCATTTGATATTCCCTTGTAAATCTGATTCTTTCAAATTCTTTTATTTCAAATCTAAATTTAAGTTTATGTTTTAAGTTTATGCTCTTTGAGTAACTCTTACTAACTATTACTAACTCTTACTAACTACTCTTACTAACTATATCCATTTTAATCTGTTATTGGTTTAGACTAGTTGATCAAAATCCAGCTTTGAAAGCTTTGAAACAAAATGATAACTTTCTAACAACAATAGGATGTAACCAAATTAGATAAACCATGGAGTTCAACGCAGAATTTCCCGCTGATTTCAAATCTGCTTTCCCCTTTTGCTAAATGGCTTTCTGTACAGAAAAGTAGCTCTTTTCTGTGAAATTTTATTTGATGTTTTGATTTTGAATATCTCTGATATTATGAATATTCTCTTGTCCTTCCTCTAAAGATCGTTTGTGTGATAAAAGGGGACAGAGCCCACTTTCTATTGCTTTTCTTTGGCTTTGACACACGGAACCAACAATTGATTCTATTTATTGTTTTTTCTGGTTAGATTAGTGATTGTGCTAGATTCGGAATAAATATCTAAATAATCATTGCCCCATCGGTGCCCTCTCACGCACTGCAAATTTTGGTGCGCAGTCCAACTACGAAATCCGGTGAGACCCGTGAGTACATGAAGTATAAAGAGCTATAGTTAAGTTTTAGGGTAAAAATGCGAGGATTTAGACACGAATTGACCCTTTACCCTTTATAAAGTTTTTCTCAGGGATCTCAACTGAAGAGATTGCTCCGATCACTGAAGAGAAGCCAGCTGAGGAACCAGTTTCTGATTTCGTTCGCTCTGTGCGACCAATTGAGATAAAGGAGCCTGTACAGCCTATCAGGGATAAACAAGATTATGAAGGGTCGCTTCCACAAGTGACGGAGCTTGGTCTTGTCGAGTCGTTCTCGTCGAACAGATCTTTGACGCCAGTCCTTCCTTTAGTGAAAGCCGAGTATTCAGTCTAGACTCTCTGGCTTACGGTATTCAATCTAGAAAAGGAGCTTAAGTCTAGAATAGCTAGATTACGGTATTTAGTCTAGATTAGAGTATTCAGTCTTGACTGTCTGGATTACGGTATTCGATCTAGAATGGGATATGACTTGATGGTGTAGTGGATAAAACGTTTGCCTACGAAACGAGCGATTCTTTACTCGAGTTCGATTCCTTTTTGACAAAACTTTTAGAATAATCATAAATTGCTGTTATATTACAGTAGCCGGTAGCTTTTCATTCATTTAAGCATTTAAATTGCATTTAAGTGACCGGGAAAAGATTCACAAATAGATTTGCGGTACTTGTGACTCTTTTCTACAGCATTTACCGGCAAATTCTAAATGTAAATTGGTCAAAGTAGATAAAAATTCGAAAGAATTTACATTACAATGCTGGGAAAAAAGATTCACATCCCAATTATCCCCAATTCCTTTTGTAAACTCGAATCTATTTTGTTTAAAACTTCAATTCTTGTTCTTTGTCCCAATAAATGCCTTAATTCGGGCCTCATTGCATAAATTTAAATCTTTTTTGGTAATTCTATAGTCTTCAGTCGAAATCATAAATCCCCGTTCTATTCTATGACTGAAATCTCCCCAAGAGACCTCTTGAAAATGCGACAGAGAGACCACAATATGCAAATGATCTCTCTTCTCTCATCAGGATTCGATCGAGATTCTGACGACCGAATCTCAATTTATTTTTCCCTTCTCCACAATTATCTTATCCCGATTTTTTTAGGAAAAATCCTTTTGACGAAATGTTGCTATTTTCGAGGTGAAATAAATGAGTTGCTAATGAAGTTTCTGGCATAGATTTGTGCTTTTTTTTGTTTTGGCTGTTAGTTCTTTGTTAATGATAGCTTTGTGATTATGCTAATCAACAAATCATCACTGTAAAGCATGTAAGACATTGAGCTAGCTTAAGCTGAACTGTTGAACCGGACAGACCAGTCTCAAAATCTAATCTAAAGCTTGTCTTAAAGCTGGAGGACCAGTCAGCCCGGTATATTAGCCGACCGGACGACTTGTCAAACTGTCCCTTGTCAAATCTCAAACCTGTCACAATAACACTTGGTTATTGGATAAGCCTCGATCATTTTTCCATTAGCAATCCAACTTTGAGCTCAAATATCTTGGTATTGGGTTGTCAAATTTAAATATTCTTGATATCATTAGATGCGCCAAGTCTTTCTCAGTCGATTGGTAGACAAACTATTTAAATTGGGCAGCCCAACACCAAGATGTTTGAGCTCAAAGTTAGATTGCCAATGGCAAGGGGGCAGGGCTTAGCAGGTTTCCGATAACCTTTTATACGCGCCCCGCCCCCTTTTGCTATTGGCAATCTAACTTTGAGCTCAAATATCTTGGTGTTGAGCTGTCCAATTGAAATAGTTTTTGTACCAATCGACTGAGAAAGACTTGGCGCATCTAATGATAGCAAGAAAAGAGAAATTGAACCGCCCAACACCAAGATATTTGAGCTCAAAGTTAGATTGTCAATGGCAAAAGGGGGCGGGGCTTAACAGATGTCCGATAACCTTTTATACGCGCCCCGCCCCTTTTGCTATTGGGAATCCAACTTTGAGCTCAAATTTCTTGGTGTTCGGCGCATCCAATGATACTAAGAATCAATTTAGATAGTTTTTATGCCAATCGACAGAGAAAGACTTGGCTCATCGAATGATATTAAGAATATTTAACTTGGACAACCCAAAACCAAGATATTTGACCTCAAATTTGGATTGCGAATAGAAAAGGAGGACAAATGTCCTACAATCATAACATTTGCCTGTACATATTCTACTTCAATTTACAGTTTTGTCAGTCAAAACTCAAATCAAACAATGAATATGAATCGTTAGTTCAGCGTTTGATTCAGCGTCAGGTTCACTTTATAGTTTTGAGTGCGAGAAATTGTGATAGACCTAAAGAAATGTTAAAATGATGAAGTTAAGTTCTCTGCACCAGATTTGAACTGATCCAGAGTTGCAAGAAGAGTCGAACCCGAGCCGATTCCCAACCCAATCCAACCCAACCCACTCTCTTCCATACCCAACTTACCCTTCCCAACTTCCTCCGATCCTTGCTCATCCATTTCCATCCAACTGACGTGTGGGTCGAGAAGAACAAGTTTCATCCCAAAGAGAGAGTCGCATTTCTAGAGAGGAGACCCAT